TAACTGGTAACTGGTTGGTGGGAGTTGGAGAGGTTGGTAGCGTCCGTGGGACGGGGGTTGGTAAGGGGCGGGTGTGACCTCGTGCAGCGGCCGCTGGTATTGTTTCCCAGGGCCTACCCCGCCGCCCCAGCCTCGCGCCCTCTGGTCGATAGGTGCTGCTGGCCCCACGGGGCGGGGGGGGGGGGGGTATAGAGCAGCATAGGGAATGAGACGTTGGGACAGCTGCGAGACAGGAATGTCGAGGAGGGTGAGACAGGGGTGAGGGATGGTAAGGTGGGACAGGACACGCTTGGGGATAAGAACTAATGTCTTTACGAATCTGAATATGGAACCAATTATAGTAATGTTTACAACGTATGTCAGACCAGCTCTGACATGTAAAGCATCACCAGGGAGTCCTTGTTTCCATGCTGATGATGCATATTCCAAAACAATAATAGGGACAATTCAGGGGATGCCACTAGACTAATTCCAGAGCTGAGAGGTATGACTTACGAGGAAAGTGCAAAGAAGAAAGAAGAAATAGGAAAGACATGATCACCACTTACAAAATTCTTATGGGAACAGAGCAGATGGAAATGGTGGTACGCTGGCAAGGGATCACATGAGAGAGCAAGTCTCCGAATAATTCATAGAGATATTATATATAATGTCGAGTATCAGTAGGGTGAACAGAGTGGAAAGTTATTATAACTGAAGTAATGTACCGAGACACTCCAGACTGCAGCCTTTACATGTATATATGACAAGAGTCTACTTGGTGATTGAAGGTTGAGTGGCGGGACCAAAGAGCTGATGTTCAACTCCTTCAAGAACAAGTAGTGATTTACAATCCCTGGGGATAGAGGGTTAGGGTGTTGGCCCCGCCATCCCTGGCATATTTGTAATGTCCGCCTTCACCTCCTCCCCCCCCCCCTTCCCAGCGTTCTACACAAGGTTCGCCGTCCTTAACCCTACACATGGGTCAGCATCCCACACACTATTCAGGGCCCAACATCCTACACATTGGTCATCATATTGTACCCTCCACACATGGCGCAGTGTCCTACACATGGGCCCGCACCCTACAACCAACCCAAGGCCCAGCGTGCTACACCCTACACACTGGGACAAAGTAGTATACAACAGGGAGTAGAGTGAACAGATTTAGGGGAAAGTGAGAATTTAGCAGCAGACGGTAAAGGGATGGATGTGTAATTGGTGGTAGTGTGGACAGGTGTTGCTGGCACACATGTGGGCCTCTGGTGTCCTCTCTACCTGCTGCTGGTCAAGCTGCCACCAGCAGGGGAGGGTGTGTTGTCACATCCTGTGAGGGGAGGGTGTGTGGTGGCAGGAGGGTAGGTGGCAATACAAGAGAGGTCTGGGAGAATCTTGTGGCAGGTTCCTCGCACAGCCTCGTCTCGTGAGACCTGTGTACCTTTGGTTCAATATGTCCTCTTCTGCGCGTCCCTTTGTGTGTATGTTGCTGCTGCAGCTACCAGAGTTTCTGCTGGAGCAGCGGGAGCTACAAGTTCCTCACTAGTACTCTTTTTTACAAATACGCAAATGGGACACCAAGAGGAGGAAATTCCCCTTGTCTTGCGAATTATACAAATGTATGACGTCGGTATATATTTGTAAGCGATACCATCAGGGCTCAGGAAGGACGTCTCTTTTTGTACATACTTTGAGTAGCTTGCTAAGTATGTGTTCTGGGACGTCAAGCGGGCCACTGCATCCCGTTAATCTCTGGTCATCACCATTCCAATGTTGTCATTCACGGCCACGTTGTTGACCAGCGTCCCGACAGTCAGAGACTGAGCCAGAGCCGATGACATAGACTCCTCTCAATACATACCTTTCCAGACTTAAGGCTGAACGTAGCGATACACAGTATACAGGCGATGAGTCACAATAACGTGGCTGAAGTATGTTGACCAGACCACACACTAGAAGTTGAAGGGACGACGACGTTTCGGTCCGTCCTGGACCATTCTCAAGTCAATTCACAATCGACTTCGAGAATGGTCCAGGACGGACCGAAACGTCGTTGTCCCTTCAACTTCTAGTGTGTGGTCTGGTCAAAATACACAGTATACATGTTATAACAAAACCAACAGTGAGAAAGTTTACCTTAGAAGTGTGTTATGTTTACTGTATTTTTCTTGTTTTATAAACATTAACACCTTGAAATTATTTGATTTACACTCGTTTCATCACGAGAACACTATTAAAATTTCATAGTTAGGAGTAGCCATCTTAGTAATAACTAACATTACAAAATACCATGTGCAGTGTGTGATACATATTACATATAATAAACTTAAACAAAAATGGAAATTTAGAATTTCTCAATTAAAATATTGTTAGAAGTGGCTGTGTGTGTAATGGTATATGCATTAATTCGTCTGAACATTTTCACCGAATTGATTCGGAGAGTTGTTATTTAATTGTAAGACCATTCTCAATAAAATTATTATTAAATCTGCTTTAATAAAACTGAATAATATAATATGAATATCAGTAATGGATTGTGCTTTCGTGATCCAATTTTAATTGATTTATTTAATAAAAATTGTAGAGGATTATTGAGCAACCATTTCCATTGGAAAGTCGTTTAACAGAGGCTGCATAAATTTGATCCTAGATGCAGATGAGGAGTCACAATAACGTGGCTGAAATATGTTGACCAAACCACACACTAGACAGTGAAGGGACGACAACGTTTCGGTCCGTTCTGGACCATTCTCAAGTCGATTGTGAATCCTAGATATTGTCTCGGACTGTTCTTTCGCCTCTCCTGTCACCGCCTTATTCCTGTGTACATACTGGCAGTGTGTGTATTTTGTCAGTAGTTTCCAGGATGTGTTGAAATACACAAGTAAGCGATCAAGTATTTCATGCTCGATTTTCCTCGTAGTTGTATGTTTTTACATTACTTATCTCGTGTCAATATCTTCGTGGTGTACACCCCCCCCCCACACACCCACACCCACCAATTAGCTACGTTCCTGCAGGAAGTGCCTGACCAACCGGGTTGTAATACACATGTGGGCCTGCGGGTGGCTCCTACCAACACTGAAGGGGTGTTACCCAAGACAGACACGTACGTGTAGTTCCACAACAAGTGCCTTCCGTCCCTCCAGAGGCGCTGGTCTGGGCCACCAGCAGGAGTGACAAAGTTGCGGGACAGGAGGTAACGGCGTTAGCTGCTACCGTCCCATCCTCGCCCACTGTACACCACATTGTGGCATCAAAATCCCGAACGGACAAATTAAGGTGTCCTATAAATCCTAGTGGCTCACCATCATCCATGTTTTCTATTCATGGTCGATAGGTTATGTTAGGGTCTGGTGTTATAGTACACCTTTTGCTTTGTCGGTTGTGGCAACTCTGGCGGACGGCCTGGCTGAACACCTAGCTGTGTGAGGCTCCTTGTAGTGATGTTAACTTGCCTGTGCCTGGAGTACCTTTGACAGAGCTGGCGGTGGTGGTGAAGCTCGTCAGCCTCCGCCTCGCCGCAATCACATCATGTGGCCTGTGTTACTATTGTCATGGAGTTAGTGCCCATCTGCGTCTCATTATTGTCTGCCCTCTCCAGTAATGTGGCGTGCAGCTGTAATAGTTGTGTGGGGAAGGGGGGGGAAGGTGTAGAAGAGTGGGTGTTGTTGACCAAGATGTGTAGCGAGACGTGCCAGCAAGGCAAAGTTACCCCGACGTATTAGGAGGGCAAAACTTGGAATATTGCGACCATTGCCTGAAGGAAGGAAGAAGTTAGTGTAGGAGTGAGTGAGTGGTGAGGCTGCTCGCCTGCTCCACTCCACGTGATGGAACATAAGGCCTCTTGCGTCATCCAGGCCCCCAGCACACTCGACATGCTTGTAAACTATTTTACAACCAACTTACAGCATGGTACAGGTGGAGGCAGAGGCCAGGGCTTAACAGCACGAGTGCCTCACTCTACACGATGACCCTTGGCTTTTGTTGCTGCTGTCGTATGCTCGCTAATATATAAATATATATATATATATATATATATATATATATATATATATATATATATATATATATATATATAATAAATGTGTGGAAGAAGCTTGTTTCTTCCAAAATGTGGACAATAAAATGACTTGGGAGAGAGAGATGGCAGTAAGTGTAGGAGAGAGGAGGTGAAGAGTAGACCCGCCAGAGACCACTGTCAACACCACAAGCGGTCTCTTGTACAACCTTCTACCACCAAATATGAGAATTATTGCTGGAAGGAACGTGGCCAAGTTCCCCCCGGGTAGTGAACAACATGTGGGCCGCTGGCCGCTCTGTTACACTACGACCCATAAAGGTGTCACCAAAGGGCCCCTCCTGGCCCGCGTCCTGCGGGAGTGACACTCTCGAAGCCGACCATAGGTAAACCACAGGTAATGAGTTTCATTTGAAATGTAGACGGTGGTAGATGCGGTAGTTCTCAACAGAATGGGAGACAGGTGGTGGAATGTCAAGAAACAGACGTAGAAATGAGACAGGCAGCGGTTGATTCTTGTAGTCAAACTAGAAATTCCAAACCAAAGAGATGGTTGGGCAGACTCTGCCAGCCCAATCAGTGACAAAGTCAGCAAACCAGAAAATATCAGGGACAAAAGGACAGGAATTTCCAATATATATGTAAATACTACGTAAAGGATATGTACAGACATGGTTAAGCGGTAATTAGACCAAGACAACAATGTTGATACACATATAAAAACAAAGAGCAATTGCCTAAATTTGTTTACACAAGGATTTTTTTCTCTCTAGATAAATAGGACAACAGGTGAAGAAAAATGCCACGACCTGGAAATGTCCAAATTGTTTAGTGTAGGGCATAACGGACCTTGACACACAGGCCCGAGGTAATTAAACAATAATAATTGACAACTTGTGGGTTATGTAGCAGTGTTAGCGTTTGTGCAGTGTTAGTGATTGGGTTGATACAGTGATTGGGTTGATACAGTGATTGGGTTGATACAGTGATTGTGTTGTTACAGGTGGCGCTGGTGACTGAGAGGCCTCCGCTGTCATATGTGACCTTCCCACACACACGCTCCACGGTGAGTACCTCCTCCTCCTCCTCTCTCCACGGTACCTTAACTCACCTGGTTAAGTTAGCTCCAGTTTGGAGATACCTGTAATTAACACAAGTAGGATATTTGGGCTTGCATGCATAATTAAACAAATGTTTAAAGGGTTTGTGAAAGAGTGAGTTGATGAGAGAGAAATAATATACGGTGAGAAGATGGTGAAACCCAATAATGTACTTTTTACGAAAACTGACTATTAATATACACTGTGAAAACTGTTTAATATATACCCCTATTTGTACGAATGAGGGTGTATACTAAAGAAAAAATATGCGATTTAACCTGGGAAAAGAGACGGGGCCAGATTCACTATTACCTCGTAAATACGAATACTAGGTAGTAACATTGACTTGGAAAGTGGGTATGACTGAACGTGTAGGTTTTCAATATATGCGAGATTTTAAACATTGAAGCAGTTTTATTACTAAAGTCTTGTGGTTGGGATATAACGCATACAATTGAAATATGAAAAGTGTACGTTGTAAACCGGTGTCTCGCTCTCGCTCTCTCTCTCACACACACATTATATATACATGCGAACAAGCCTGAATGGTTCCCAGGCAAATATGCAACTGAATATATGAACATATTTTATATATATCTTGCTTTTCTCCATACCCAGTCTTTATGTATCTTATGTTTGCCCGAGTACCTACCATATTTAACTAACGCTCACTAGCCTTCAATCGTTTTGGCGCTTGCCTTTCCATTGGAGACGTTAGGCACCGTGGAGAAGGGGGGGGGGTTTCCTGCTGCTTGGGTAACAGCTTCTCTCCCGTACTAACCTACCCTGGCTTTGCACCTTGGAGAGGTCACTCCAGACCGACAACCAGACCACAATTCCAAAGTCTCCTGAGACTGATAGATGCCTACTCCTATGCCTGAGTGAACGCTTGTGAGAGTTAGTTAAATATGGTAGGTACGCATCCGTAGAGTTTTTGCAAATATTATCGATAATATGTCACAAGAAGACTTTGTTGATGTTTGTGTCGATGATGGCGGGAGCTGCAGGTCTCCGGGGGTTAGATGGGTCATGTTCGTCAGGAGCTGCAGGTCTCCGGGGGTTAGATGGGTCATGTTCGTCAGGAGCTGCAGGTCTCCGGGGGTTAGATGGGTCATGTTCGTCAGGAGCTGCAGGTCTCGGGGGTTAGATGGGTCATGTTCGTCAGGAGCTGCAGGTCTCCGGGGGTTAGATGGGTCATGTTCGTCAGGAGCTGCAGGTCTCCGGGGGTTAGATGGGTCATGTTCGTCAGGAGCTGCAGGTCTCCGGGGGTTAGATGGGTCATGTTCGTCAGGAGCTGCAGGTCTCCGATGGGGGTTAGATGGGTCATGTTCGTCAGGAGCTGCAGGTCTCCGGGGGCATGGGTCTCGTCGAGGGGTTAGATGGGTCATGTTCGTCATGTTCGTCAGGAGCTGCAGGTCTCCGGGGGTTAGATGGGTCATGTTCGTCAGGGCTGCTCCGGGGGTTAGATGGGTCATGTTCGTCAGGAGCTGCAGGTCTCCGGGGGTTAGATGGGTCATGTTCGTCAGGAGCTGCAGGTCTCCGGGGGTTAGATGGGTCATGTTCGTCAGGAGCTGCAGGTCTCCGGGGGTTAGATGGGTCATGTTCGTCAGGAGCTGCAGGTCTCCGGGGGTTAGATGGGTCATGTTCGTCGGGAGCTGCAGGTCTCCGGGGGTTAGATGGGTCATGTTCGTCAGGAGCTGCAGGTCTCCGGGGGTTAGATGGGTCATGGTCGTCAGGAGCTGCAGGTCTCCTGGGGTTAGATGGGTCATGTTCGTCAGGAGCCAATAAGGTTAGGTTAAAAATGTCTTCTCCGGGAATCGGACTAAAATAAGCCGGTCAAAAAGGGTTGGGACGGAAGGTGGCACAAAAAAAATCATGCCGGATAAAAAGGGCGACGACGGAAGCCGGCTTTAAAAAAACTTTCTTCCTCCTTGTATTCCCTCCATTCCTGCAGTTCCTGCCTCCCCTTCCTACCCCGTCACACTCTCCCTTCATCCCTCACTCTGCACTGAATCAAATACAACAATTGTCTTGTTGTGTTTGATTATAATTATCTTTTTGTCTCATGTTTAATAAGGAAAATATGGCTCGCCGATCGCCATTTTGGAATTATTGTTTGTATTGATGTGAGGGTGTTGTGGAGCCTTGTATTGCCTCACTTGGGAGACTCGCCACATGGTCCACGGGATTTGTCTCCGCCTCAGTAATATATTTGTTGGTGGACTGAAGTCGACAAGGAAGTGTAGTAAGTGGGCGTGGCGCGCCCCGGTCTTACCTCTGGTCCTGGGCGCCCCGGAGTTGGGGGCCGGTTACCTTGCAATGATTCCAGGGCTTGGCGTCCCCGCGACCCGGTCCTCGACCAGGCTTCCTTGTTGCTGGACTGGTCAACCAGGCTGTTGGACGCGGCTGCTCGCAGCCTGGTTGATCAGGTATCCTTTGGAGGTGTTTATCAATTTCTCTCTTGAACACTGTGAGGGGTCGGCCAGTTATGCCCCTTATGTGTAGCGGAAGCGTGTTGAACAGTCTCGGGCCTCTGATGTTGATAGTTCTCTCTGAGTACCTGTTGCATCTCTGCTCTTCAACGGGGGTATTCTGCACATCCTGCCATGTCTGCTGGTCTCGTGGTGTTATTTCTGTGTGCAGGTTTGGGACCAGCCCCTCTACTATTTTCCATATGTAAATTATGCATCTCTCCCGCCTGCGCTCAAGTGAATACAGATTTTAGCTCTTTAGTCGGCCCCAATAGTTTAGATGCTTTACTGAGTGGATTCTAGCAGTAAAGGATCTCTGCACGCTCTCCAGGTCAGCAATTTCTCCAGTTTTGAAAGGGGCTGTCATTGTGCAGCAGTACTCCACTCTAGAGAGCACTAGCGTCTTGAATTCCGGGGCAAGCGCGCACTGTGGACTGTCATATAATCAAATCATAATATCAAGAGGAAGGATTAAGGTGTTGAACTGGGAATCATGTCAAAAGACCTCACGTTCAAACAAATGAAATAATTGTTGCCACAGCGAGAGAGACCAAGCGCACAGTGAGCATTTCTAGTGACACCAGGAGTTGAACTGTTGCGCGTTGACTGCTCCTCTTAACGCCGCGGAAACCTCACCTGGAAATAGTCTAAAAAATATTTACTGTCTAAATCAATGTAATGAAACGTGTAAATAATTATAGTAATGAAAATATCTCAAATTAAATCTTGAATACTGGCAAGGGACAGAGACAGAAACAGACGACACATCAACATCTGAAAAGTATTTGAAATGTTTCCATGTGATGCCAGGAAGCTCATTTGTGGGTCTGAAGGAATACCCACAAGACCCTAAGTGTATATACATACACTGTCCAAGGCTTTACCACCACCACCTGGGTGTATAAGGAGAGTTACCACCACCACTCATAATTTTTTCCCGACTAAATTTCAGTAATACCTCCAAAGGGTCCTTCATGAACGGGAATGTGGTGTCTTCACTGGCTTGATCACTGCTAACACCGACAACCTGACTGATTAGATCTGGTCGCTGGCGCACCCACCACGGAAACAACATAATGTTGTCTATGGAAATAGGCATACTTGCATACACCCCCCCCCCACGCACATACACACCAAGATTCCTACCCAGTAAGCAGACACCAATACATTCGCACACATTCAATTCCAGGTCAAAACTCCTAATTTCCCACCAAGGTAAACCAACGTAAACGAATAATGCCACAGTAGACTGACCCCAGCCACATGCTAGGCTGCATGTAAACTCACAGTGAGCTGGAATAACAGTTGTCTGGGTCGTGGGAAGTGACATAATGACCGGGGACAGTAACCTGGATATTAGTGGGGGAGAGAAGACGACGGAGACCATGATTAAATTTCTTCTCGGTGATCCAGGTCCATTGTTATGTGGAGGGGGGGGGGCGCCCCTGGAGGCATGAGGAGGGCGTCCCTGGGGGCATGAGGAGGGGCGTCCCTGGGGGCATGAGGAGGGGCGTCCCTGGGGGCATGAGGAGGGGCGCCCCTGGGGGCATGAGGAGGGGCGTCCCTGGGGGCATGAGGAGGGGCGTCCCTGGGGGCATGAGGAGGGGCGTCCCTGGGGGCATGAGGGGCGCCCCTGGGGGCATGAGGAGGGGCGCCCCTGGGGGCATGAGGAGGGGCGCCCCTGGGGGCATGAGGAGGGGCGCCCCTGGGGGCATGAGGAGGGGCGCCCCTGGGGGCATGAGGAGGGGCGCCCCTGGGGGCATGAGGAGGGGCGCCCCTGGGGGCATGAGGAGGGGCGCCCCTGGGGGCATGAGGAGGGGCGCCCCTGGGGGCATGAGGAGGGCGCCCCTGGAGGCATGAGGAGGGCGCCCCTGGAGGCATGAGGAGGGGCGCCCCTGGAGGCATGTGGAGGGGCGCCCCTGGAGGCATGAGGAGGGGCGCCCCTGGAGGCATGAGGGACCGGGGGGGGGGGGCTAGAGGAGACGGGGGAGAGTAATTCATCTCGGGTTTTCTCTGTACTTGTCTTCGGTACGCATATTTTTACGATTTCCTTTGGTTTATTTCTTCTTCTTCTTCTTCTTCCTGGAGATTTCAGTTAAAGACCTGACGAAAAAATACCTTACGAACCCGTCTCGTATTGAATTTTAAACTACTTTAGTTTAATAAAATAAACAGAAAAACATACGCCAACTAATGTTCTTTACCTTGCGATATCTTGTTTAAACCGGACCACAATGTTTCAATATAAAAGTTAGAGAACACAAATGAGCGTGTTTATATATTAGTGAGCAGTGATACCCCTGATTAGCTGTTACCTGCTGGGTTGGGTTTCTACTGGGTGGTAGTTAAACGAGGAGGGTGGTCTCCTTAGACTTGTATCAGCTCCCAACACCTCGCTGTCCAGTAGGTGATGAAGCGACATACCAGCTCCCTCCCCACCCCATCTTACCTCAGGCCAGCTCCCGCCAACCAACACCCCCGATCAACTAATACCC